ATCTCAATATGAGGCGATAAAGGAGATCGCTAAGTGCATCTCCTTCATTGCTCCTGGTCCTCATGTGTTCCTGGTGGTGATCCAGGTGGGAAGATTCACACAAGAAGAACAGCACACAGTGAAACTCATTCAGGAGCTGTTTGGAGAGAAGGCAGCAGAATACACCATGGTCCTGTTCACCTACGGAGACGACCTGGAGGCCGACGGAGTCTCTGTAGAAGAGTTGATCAGTGGAAACAAAGCTCTTCAGGACTTCATCGGTCAGTGTGGGAGAAGATATCATGTTTTTAACAACAGAGCCAAGGATCCCTCTCAAGTCAGAGAGCTGTTGGAGAAGATCAACACGCTGGTTCAACAAAATGGAGGAAGATGCTACACCAACACCATGTTAGAGGAAGCTGAGAAAGCCATAAGAGAGAAGCAAGAACAGATCCTGTGGCAGCTGGAATTGAAGCTTTCATGAGACGCATGATGAAATTTCTGGCACAGATCAAACGTGGCATCCAGTGAAATCCAGTGTATTTTTCCACCAGAGTCATTCTGTAAAAAATGTGTTTTTCACCCCTGAATGTTTCATGTGTCTATCTTCTGTACTGATGAAGTGATGAGGCTCAGAAATGACGGAGAAAGTCCTTTAAAAGTGTGAAATTTGGAGCCACATCTATGTACTTCAAGGGCCTGTAACTCTGAAAATATATGTAGCATGAAGGTAAAACTTTACTTCATTAAATATAATAAAGTTACAAAAGATAATTGTGAGGAGGTCAGGGGGGAACTGAATGATTATTGATTATTGATTACTGACAACACAGTTCACGCTGCACCTGATTTCTGGAATTAAACATGTTTTATCAAAAAGTACTTTATGTGTCTTCTGGTGTGTTATTATAACAAATGTAATAAATGAAAATCTGTGTGAAGAACTTTATTGTGTCACATCACTGAAATATGAAATGATTCCAAACTGTATCCCCTCACAGTAATCAGATTACTCCCATACTAGAGTATTTTATGACAACAGTTTAGATTCTAGATTCAATTCAGGCTCCACAGCAGGAACTCAATACAACTAAAGTCAGTCCAGCTTCCATGACTGAGATTCTTTGATGTCTTCAGTCCTTCTTATGTCCACCTTTATTTCTGATGACAGACTCNTGAAGAGGACACTCACCTCAGGGTGGTCCTGGTTGGGAAAACTGGAGCTGGGAAGAGCGCATCAGGAAACACCATCCTAGGAGAAAAACGTTTTAAATCCATGCCATCGACTTCTTCTGTGACAGCTGTATGTCGGAAGGAAACAGGAAAGCGTGACACTCAAAAGGTGGCTGTAGTCGACACTCCTGGTCTGTTTGACACCAACAGATCTCAATGTGAGACGATAAAGGAGATCGCTAAGTGCATCTCCTTCATTGCTCCTGGTCCTCATGTGTTCCTGGTGGTGATCCAGGCAGGAAGATTCACACAAGAAGAACAGCAAACAGTGAAACTCATTCAGGAGCTGTTTGGAAAGAAGGCAGCAGAATACACCATGGTCCTGTTCACCCGCGGAGACGACCTGGAGGCTGATGGAGTCTCTGCAGAAGAGGCAATCAGTGGAAACAAAGCTCTGCAGGACTTCCTCGGTCAGTGTGGGAGAAGATATCATGTTTTTAACAACAGAGCCAAGGATCCCTCTCAGGTCAGAGAGCTGCTGAAGAAGATCGACATGATGGTTCAGAGACACGGAGGAAGATACTACACCAACACCATGTTAGAGGAAGCTGAGAAAGCCATAAGAGAGAAGCAAGAACTGATCCTGAAAGAAAATCCAGACATGAAGCCTGAAGACGCAAGAAAACAGGCCGAAGAGGACAACTCCTTTATTAAAGGTGTTCTGATCGGGGCTGGAATTGGAGCTGGAATTGGAGCTCTATGTAGTGCTCCACTGGGTGCAGCTGGAGTTGCTGTGGGAGCTGCAGCTGGAGCTGTGGTGGGAAGTCTAATTGTAGTGGCAAGGGAGGTATGTGTCACCCAGTGAATTCCAGTGTATTTTTCTACCAGAGTCATTCTGTAAAAAATGTGTTTTTCAGCCCTGAATGTTTCATGTGTCTATCTTCTGTACTGATGAAGTGATGAGGCTCAGAAATGATGGAAAAACTTTGGTTGGCTTCATTAAATATACTGAAGTTACTGTAGGTAGCTGTGAGGAGGTCTGGGGGGAACTGATTGATTATTGATTTCTGATCCAGCTGCAGCTCATTGAACCACATTAATAAGGAGAAAATAATCCCAGTAACAGTTTGCTGTTTAATCTTGATCTAGTGTTGTCTTTAGTATCAGTGCTTTTTGTTCTTTTTAAAGACTCTTTATTTCACTCATAATTACTGATCATGTGATGAATGGAAACTTCAGTCCAAGACAAATCACTGTATATGACACATGATGTGAAAGCTGCAGACGACGTCGTTCACACTGATTTCTGGAATTAAACATGTTTATCAAAAAGTACTTTATGTGTGTTCTGGTGTGTTATTATAATAAATATAATAAATGAAAATCTGTGTGAAGAACTTTATTGTGTCACATCACTGAAATATGAAATGATTCCAAACTGTATGCCCTCACAGTAATCAGATTACTCCCACACTAGAGTATTTTATGACAACAGTTTAGATTCTAGATTCAATTCAGGCTCCACAGCAGGAACTCAATACAACTAAAGTCAGTCCAGCTTCCAT